TTTGGAAAAACTGGTAGTAGTAGTTACTACCATCTTTGGAATGAGTAAGCTGCTGTGAGGAAGTATAGCACACCTTTTCCCTAAAGCCACATAATTTTATCAGTTCCAGCCTCCTCTTTCCTTGGACAGTTCTGTGCTCAATATCGCAGTCCTAACTTGGTCCAGTTTTTAACCTCATTCCTTTCCACAGTACTTACACTAAATTTCATATGCCATACCTCTCTCTTTGCCCTTCTACCACATTCAATGTCTCCTTTTTTCGTAAATTTCCAACTATTTGTCCTGAAGAACCACCTACTTCTTACTCTGCAGTTTGATTAAGCTAATTCCTGTTTTTTCACACTGCCAGATTTTCAGAAAATTGTAACTTGAAAAGTTTGGGAGTATTTGGTTGAAGTCAAATTCATACCAGTGAAAAAATACATTTTTTTATATTTATTTTTAGCAATTACACACTTGTCATACATTTAATTTGCTATTTCAACTGAGAAAGTGTAAAAGAATGTTACTGAAGTTGGAGGACAGTAGTGTTGCCAATGATTCAATGTATCTCTTAAAGTAGATTGCAATCAGGTAATACACTGGAAAAAGCTGGCTATCAGAATGGATAAACAGTAATAGGTTGATAGAAGTTTCTTGTGTCAGCTGGGTTTGATTCATGCAAGCTCTAACAGTGGAACAGAAAGTTTTGTTTTGCATTCAGAATTATTTATGGATTTTCCAATAAGCACAAGAGTGTCAGGATGTAATAGTACCCCAGTACTACATCCATTCCACAGAAACACTTGGGAGTCAACTTCCCACTCTAATAGGGAAGCTGCAACGTTAATCAAATTGTGAGACCTGGACACAGAGAAAGAACATTGAAAGGAACAGATTATCCTCTAATGCCTCATCTTTGCTGTTGAGTAAAATATCCCAAGCAGTAAAGACCAGGCTAAACTCCCCTTGCATGGTGAGAAGAACAGAAACGCATGCCATGGATGGTTCGGTGAGGCATGCTGCAGATGTGTGTGTGTGTGCTCTCACATGTGCTTCTGAGACTGTTCTGCTACATCCAGCCTGTTCCTGGAAACTAGCTACTTCCAATTAGGCAATCCAATTGGTCACTGAATCACTGATCTCTGCTTAGTTACCCTCATGGTTCATTGATTTTTTATGAAGGTGTAAGGAAATGGGCAAACAGGTGAGCGGTATCAGAAAATTTTAAATCATCATTTTCTGTTCACTTTAAAAAAGTTCCGTGACTGGAATCTTCTTGTCAGAATAGTGGAAATCTATTTTCATCTGATTCAGGGGTGTGTGTGAGGGGATATGTGTGTATATTAGTGATTGTTTTGTAAAATCTACAGTACTGCCTTATCAGACTAGATTTATTATTTTAATATAAGTGAATGAGCTGCTACTGGAAATTTTCTATCTATGCTATCTGTAACAAAATATGTAAAGTTTCAGATATCTGTGAGGATGCAGAGTAGTATTTTCATTTTGCCATACCATCATTTTATATGCTTCTGCCATTGACTGCTATAATGTAGCAAATCAGGAACGTGGGGTAAAAGGCTAGAAGTCTAAATGAAGGTTGCCAAAAAAACCTGTATCTCAGACTTCTTTTGTCCTTTCAAAAATCTGCTATATCTAAACCTTGTTCATGTCTTCGTGGTCTTCCGAGCATTCCCACCTACACATCCGTATGAGATCATGATTTCATGAATGGTTCAAAAGACATGTTTATTTTAGATCTGCAGATCTGCAGATTTAGATATGCAGATCTGGAATATTTCTGGAGTTCTTTTTGCATTTGGGCAACGCAAAGCTTAGTGATTTTACTACATTATGATTTATTTACATCATGATTTTACATACTTAGACTGGCTATTAGCCAAATGAAAGTTGCTCATGTTTCAGTTTTGGACAGTGAATATTAGGTATGTCATAGGCATTTTTGGTGTTATGTTGTTAGCGTATTTATAAAAACATGAATAATTTATTTTCAGATTAATACATAAAGTATTAATACTAAAGAAACAAATTGGAGAGAATTGACTGGATGCTCGGAAGATAGATGGCATTTAAGCCTTTTGCTCTGATGTTGGAATGCATAAAGCACAGAAAAAAATGCTGCCTCCTAATGTGCAAGCTGTCATATTTTGGCCTATGTGATGTCAGTCATTCTCTCTTCCATACAGATATGGCATACACCTTTCCTTTCTTTTTACTGATCATGCATATTTAATTGAAAATATTGCTGTACTTCAACAGAAACCATTTCCAGACAAAGACACATGCTTACATGAATAATATCTCTACAATTATAGTTGCATTTAGAGATATTATGAAAATGCACAAACATTGTTAGGCTATATATTCTTGATTTATGGTGAGTGCTGTGTACACCAGTAAGTTACTTCATTAATTAATGTATAGAACTCGTTTATCTTCTTAAAGAATTTAGACATAACCTTCTCATTTTTTGTGTTGCACTTGTAAGAACATTTTGTAGAGAGTTATTATCTATATGTAGCATGGATAACATGGGGTGTAAAGAATAGGGAAAAGTGTAAATAGCTAGTAGTGCTAGAAGATCAGGTCAGGTCTAATCTAAGCCTTACCTCACTTCTCTATACTTACAAGCAGAGTTCTGGGTGATGAGGAAGCGTATTTCAAACTTGTTAAAAGTTATTACATATTAAACTGTATGAGCAGATGTATCTAAATGCCAGCTTACTCTGATTCTGAATTCCTGAATTAAAAAAAAAAAAAGTTGAATTGCCATATATTCACAAGAAAAAGTCTCAGAATTTGAGAAGAATGCTAGAGCTCTGAGTTTCTAGAAGTATTAGGACAAAACTTGATAACAGAGATTGGGCACTTAAAATAGTTTACTGGGGATTTGAAAAGTAGTTAGGACACAAATTCTAAGCAAAACATTAACTGACAGTGTTTCATTCACATACGAGTAAGTAAAGAGAACAGTCTGGGGAGTTCCTTCTTATGGACAGTAAGTTAAACTGCTTGCAAAGAGCAACTGCATTCCCATGAAATTCATGTTCTGCAACACATGTTTTGCTTGAAGTCCTAGTTTTGTTTAAAGCTTGGCTCTTTAAAACCTGGTTGAACATTTTTTATCTATTTATGCCTTATATTTTTGAAAGACTATCAAGAAAACTTGTCAACAATTTGCTGGAGAGATAAAAAGGGAAGTGAAAGTGAATAGTTAACACTAAAAAGTCATCTAGCATCTGGAAACACTTCATTACTTATTAATAGTGATGTAATATTTGCAACAGTTTTGTGGTGTTAGTTCCAGGGTTGCATCTAAATCATTTAAGGGCGTATTGATGTGGATATAGCCTGGGAATGTCACAACGTAGTGGTGAGAATCAGCTGGTATGTGATTGTTAACCATCATCACACATATCATAGCTGCTGTCAGGTAGACTCCTACATTTTTATTTCATTGTTTTTCCTGTGGGTGTGAATATATTCTAAAGCAAATTTTAAGAACGTGATAGAATTATTTTTTAATGCTTCTTGGCAACATGCTTACTGCCAGGCTGTATGGGTAGACTGCCTTTGGTACTTAGGTCTGTGCACTAGTTTAAGAACCCTAATACTTTTTGCAGCCTGCAGTGTAGCTCGGTGATTGTTCCCTTGTTAGCCCTTCTAAGCCTTCTAAAGATCTTATTTTCGAATTTTCAGTGTACTGTGTCAAATTGGGCCCTGCTGAATTGTGTATCACTCCTCACTCTTGTAACAAACTGTAAAGTTTAAACTGCATCAGTAGAGACTTAAGTTAGAAGCTTTCTATAGTGGTGACTATGCTTTTGCATTTATTTGACAAGAAGTGAGCACAAAGTTCTCTTGTACTATATACAATTAACTTAATATACTTATAAAAAATATTTACATGTGGCTGTTGATGCATTTTATCCACATGTGAAAGAGGCAAAGATAAGAGCAGGTAATATAGCTACCTGCAACAATGTGTTTGATTACTAGAAAATCATTAATTATAAGCAAATTCCAGTATGCGAAATAAAAGTGGAGCATAAACGTGAGGTTTTCCCTGTTTCTTGTGAAATCAGTTTACATTTCCAGTGTGGACTTCTGTGATTAGATATTGATTTAAAATACTTCAGCTTCAGAAGAGCTGTAGACCAGGGACTCTTTTGCATTCTAAAAATTCCTTGTAAACTGGAAGAAAATAACTATTTTCTAAATAATTTTTCCTATACTATGTGCATATATTTAGCCTAAAAGAGAAATAACATTCTTCTGATTTTAATAGTTGGAAAATACCTAGTGCTTTAACAAATATAAGCATTTTTGCAATATATAAATTTTGACATATTTTCAAAATACAAGCAACATATTAATATCTTGTTTTTATTATTTTGAAATGCAGGCATTTTTTTTTTTGCATAGTCTCTGATAAATGTTATATCTCTTCATTAATTTTTTAAGTAATAACAGGGCTTTCTTCTAAATTAATCTTTTATCATAACAGGATAAACATTAGCAAAACTTACACTCAGAAATGGGAAAGCTGTGAAGCTAGCTATGTGGGAACAGATTCCCCAATGGTGGTAGCCTTTCAGACAGACTAGATAAACCTCTGCCAAGGATATTATTCGTACAGAAGTTATCACTGCCTTCAAGCAAGGGAACAGGCAATCTGAGTTCTTGAGATTGCTTTCAGACAGAGCTTTATATATTTTTTCCTCCTAACTAATGTAGAAAATCCCAGATTTTAGTTATCTATCTACTTGATCTGTAGTCTCCTACTTCTCAGAATAAACATGTGAATCATCTAAATATTTTTTTTTCTTAGAACAGTGTATCAGATTTCCAATTTTGTTAATAATTTCAGTGCTCTATACAATGCTTTTGTAGCTCCTAAATTCTCAGATTTTTATGTCTTCTGTTGTGTGATGTGTATCATTCCTTCTCCATCTTATTGTCTCATATTTGTATTTTTCTTTCTGCCATCTCCTCAGTCATTATGTCACTTTACCTCGTTCCCGGTACACCCAGTCTACAGATCACCATTACAGAGATGCCAGGTATATGTTTTCCTCTGTGTGACTCTGTGTGGGTAACGCATGTATGTCTATGTACCTACATGTCCACTTCTGGTTTTATTAGTCTGTGTATAGTGGTAGAAAACTTAGAAGTGTTGAGATAATATCAGCATTAGCTGTCTTAATATGGAGTGTAGACTAACACTGGGTAATTCTTCATATGTTCCACTTTTTAAACATTTTTTCACTGCCAATAGTCTATAATTGGTGGTCCATGCAGATAATGCTATATTTATATCATTCTAATGCCTTTTAAAGAGTCAACAAAGAAAATTATTTAAATCAATAAACACAAATACCTGCTAATTCTGTGACTTGCTTACACAGAATGTTATCCATATGTGGCTTTGTTAAAGGTTACAATAGATAAAACTGGAATGTGATACCTTTCTCATAGTCTCAGCTGCAGTCCAATACACCTTAATTTTTAAAAACAGTTTTGCAAATTTCACCAAAGTTCCAGCTGAGTTTTGTTCCGATGTTTGGTTCTGTTTCTGACATTGCTTGTTTTACACGTTGTGTGGATCTCATTTCATCTTTGTGTTGCTTTTCATTGTGTTCACCCTTTATGTTTTGGCAGCCAGGATCACACAATGTATCCCTTATTTTGTGAAGATGCAATCAGATTACTTCGCTCCCGTAAGATGTGCCGTACCTATTCTGAGGGTGCTTACTATGATCTTGAGAGGTATAATTGATGTGGAGCATATTGTTAGCTCTGATACTTATACTTTGACAGTACTGTGTTTGGTTTCCAAACTGAGAGAATATCATCTGTATTTTTAGTGATAAACACATACAGTGAGGAAGTTTTATAATACTCTGTGAGTATGCATGCATCTAAAACTGACTACTCAGGATTATGGGTAAATCCCAGAAGAAGTTGAATAGTTTTACAGAAGACAGTTTCATAAATTTGGTTATATGGCTATTATATATAAGTGTCTTTGTGTAACTTATTTTTGCTGGAATTTTCTAAAGTGCTTATAGTACTGATTATTCTCATTGAAATAATGAGGAACAGCCTATCTCCTTCAATGTACACAGAAGTAGAGTCTTTCTGAAATCTCATACTTCTCTTAACTGAAAAATAGAGTGAATAGTAGAAGTATAAGCTTATCTTATAGCTATTTTTATAATGCTAATTTAATCTGTAATTTGTGGGTACTTGTATACATTCACAATACTTGTGTGTGATTACAGAACATCAGAGTTCTTATTTATATAGGAAATATATGGCAGAAAGGAGTTGAGCCCATAATAATTTATGTGAAATATTAATACTTGAAATACAATGGCTTTTAAGAGATGTAATAAGACTTGCCGGTGTACTACTGTGATTACGATATATTCAGAAATACTGCAAAACAGCAAAAAGTCTACATGGTTTTATGTAAATACAAATAAGGATATAAATCTGATAAACTCTGAGCCAATAAAAAGAAAGTGGTGGCTTCAGATCTCAAATAGCAGATATAATGGTTGATACGCCTATTGCTTTACAAGAGGAGCAATGTAAAATTTTCCATAGCAAGAACTAAAGAACACTTGATATATTACCTTCATGGCTGCCCTCAGGATATCAGTTCCTCTAAGAAGTTTATTAAGGGTTGCTCTGGATTCAGATCGTATTTAACCATACTTTTAGTAAGTGTAAAACTACTTTTGGATGCAGAGACAAAACAGAATCTAAAACTTTTGTGGTATCATAGAAGTATTCCTTCCAAAGAAATATTGCCTTTTAAAAATTCTTCAAAGCTATAGTATAATAGATATTACAACTTATAGAACTTCGTTAAGCATTTGTTTTGAAATAACACTGTTTTACATGAAACCTAATATAAAGAAAGTGTGTAAATAGTTCAGTCCCCATGTAGAAACTTTAATAAGGAGAGGGATTTTTGTTTGTTTTCTGAAAATATGTGATGAAATGTGCTCACACATATGCTATTTCAATAGTTAATTTTTATATACTGTTTTTTGCCTTAGTTATATGCTCATATTTGCATTAGTGCAGCTGAAACTGTTTCAGGTTGCCAGCTGTATCTGTGACTTCAGATATTACTGAAAGTTGGAGCTATTATCAAATTGTCTTAGTTTGAGCATCTTGACTTGCAAATCTTAGTCTTTGTTTCTACAGAAATTAATTTCTCAAAAATCAAGTAAAATCAATGTAAATACAGGGCAAAAGTGACAATACTGCATAAAGATGAAAAAGCTGGGATTTAAGCAGTGAGATGGAGTAAATCTTTTCCAAGGCTTTATTGAAGAGAAGGTTATTAAAGCTAATTCCTCCTGAGGTCAGAAAGGAAAATCCGACATGAAGTGGAATATCTCTAGCTCACTGCTAGAGTAGTATCTTGAGATTCCTAGGGCCTAGGAACTGATCCGGGATTCTCTGGTCCTCTGGAGTTTGGGCTGTCTGTGGGTGTCATTAGTCTTCAAGTTCCTTGAGTCACCTTACCTGCCATGAACTACTCTGAGTACTCATAGCCATTTTTGCTAGTTTTTCATCCTTTTTGTCTTTCTGTATTCTGACAGCAGTTCTCTACATATTTAAGGACCATTTAAAGCATAATCTTTATCCAATTCCTCCTTATCCACTGAAAAACACTAAGTAATTTCCTCTTCCTTAGGGTTTTTTTTTTTTGGAAGTATGTGAAAAAGTATTCAGGGAAGAGTCTCTCATCTGAGACAGAGAGTTTTGTATCTTATGTCACTGTGAATCCACCAGTGTGGGTGTCCTGCAGGCAAATATGTCATACAGATACATCAGTCAATATTAGTTGCCTTCTTTGTTATTCATGGCTCCTTTTGTTGCTTATCTTACAGTCATTCAAGCCAGCTCATTGTCTCTTGTGGTCTCTTCTGGCCGTTTTTTCTTTTATTTCCCCACAAAGGGACTACTTGGTGCTTTTTCGTCTTTTCTGTGCTGAAGTTTGTTTCAGTTACTGTTTATCAGATTTGAAAGTCTTTAATTCATTAGTTCTAGGACACATTTATATTATCAAAAACCTTAATGTCTGAGTTCATTCTTAGGTTATAGTACTCATCGTTTTGTCTTCGTGATAGTTCCCTGCTTTTGAAGAAGTCCAAATGTTTCACTCCCAAAAGAAATGGAGGTGGCATTGACAAGATTCTTACTCCAGCACATGCCTAAGAAAGACAATAGGCCCATGTGCAGCTTCAGTGACTTCAGTGCTCTTTGGACTCAGTGCTTTCTCAAGAGCAGCCTGATGCTCAGTACCCCACTCCAGCGTTCCTTGACTCTTTAGTGTGATAGTCAGCACAGTAGCACTAGCGAGTATCAGTTAGCACCACTGCAGCTATTCAGATTGAACAGATCTAAGACATCATGGCTGGACACGTAGAGCTTTACTTATGCTTTTATTTATATCCCCCTATTCAGAATCTTATAGAGTTATACAGGTTAGTTCATAATTTGATATTCACCCATTTTAAATTGGCTGACATACATGTGATCTCAATGACAGAGTAATGTTCTCAAGATTTTAATCCTCACTGTTTTTAAAATTAAAATATTCGTAGTCCCTCCCAAATAAAAATCTGCTGAAAAATTCACTGTATGAAATTCTTTCTCAATTTACCCATCTCAGAGCTCAGATTAGTCACTAAGAACACCACACTATGTCCTATTTTCCTTTTTTTCACTTAGCCTGTGAGGTTAGTGTTTAGAAGGCAATAAAAGCTGGTTTGTGCACATTTTGTGCAGGGTGTGAGGTTTATTTCAGGCAGAATTTCTGTTGCTTCACTTAAGTAAACAAACTTATGCTTCCATTTTGTTTTCTGTCTTTTGTTTTACCAGTCAGAAATTTTCTAATAACCATATCCTACTTTTGGTGAAATTTCTCAGTTATCAAATACTGTTTTCCTATGGATGTAACTTTTCACTCTATGAAATGTGTGTATTGATCAACTGTTCTTAATATGTTGTTAATCATTTCTGAATATAATTTGGAAGTAGAAGTTTAAAATGACATATATATGAAAATATACGTTCAGCAGATACTGCTGAACTGTAGATAAATGTGCTTTATGTTCCTCACTATCTTAATAATACAGTGGGGGAAAACATAGTGAAAGAAGCACCCTTTAAAATGTCTGAAATATCTGTGCTGTTTATTTCATATTCAGGAGGACTAGGCAGGAGAGAAGAGTGCCTAATTCATATTATGACGACACAACATATACTCCTGAAAGGTATTTTAATTTATATAGTAAAAATAAAGTTAATACATTTTTTCTGAAGTTTAGTCTAAAATTTTTAATTTACCTAGACTAATGATATTTAAATTTATGGTACAATTTCTGCATTTCTCTAAATACAGTATTTCTCTAAATACAGAACAACTAATCTCCATAGTTTTAAATACCTAATTTTCTTTTAGCTCTCCATTCACTTGACTTTGGATTTTTTTTTAAGCATAATTCTTTTTTTGCTTAAGCATTTTTTTTTTTATTTATTATATGTGGGAGGAAAATCGAATAGTACAGAGGAGCTAGGTACAACTGAAGGATTTTTCCCACTGAGCTGCAGCGACTTTCTGATGTCTAACCTTTTCAGTCACTAGGAGTGATTATAGGGCAATTTAGAATCCTCAGTTTCATTCTTTAGTACACTTAAGAAGGTCCTCGGCTTTTGACACATTACTGCCCATATTGACTTAAAAATGACTTACTAAATGCCTTCAAATTGATTTTGGATGCTTTCTGTGCTGTGACCGAAAGTACTATAGTCCTTCCTAAATTTTGGTATGCATATAGTATATGACAGTGAATATAATATAAATAAAATCTAACCCATAATCTGAAAAATTTTGGAATGTCTCTGGAAATAGTTATTTGATAACAGAATTTCATGTTTAAAGAGCTAGGCAAAGTCCAAAAAGAAGGATGTCTGAAGAAAGAAGCACGTTGATGTTCCTCTTTGCACAATTATTGAAGTGATGCAAAAATTGATT